CTAGGGTTTGGCCATGTTGAGTTAATATGGTTGGAATTGAAGTTAATTAATAACTAAACCCTAGAAACTTAAATGAAGAGTGTTTAAGTAAGTTTGAATGATTAAGTCTCTAATTGTTAATGTTTGAATGTAGGTTTAACCTAATTTCAAGTGTAAGGTCTAGGTTTGACTTGTGGCATGGGCATGAATTGTTGAGAGTGAATTTATAAAGAGTGTAATGTGGATTGGACAAGATATGAATCTTGTGTTACAAGTTATTATGTGTGTGTAAAATCTGATGTATATCTAGGTACGAGTGTGAATCGGGAGATACAATGATTCTTGATCAGTGTTCGGAGGATTTGACTTGATTACTTGTTGTACAAGTAAGTTTGCTAGGAGTTACTAGAGGTAAGCTCTTGGTTTATGAGGATTATTTCTCTTTGTTTGTTCTACCAGGATTTCATGATCTTGGAGGTATATCTGTATGCTTGTGTTTTTGTAATAATCGGATATATAGTGTAGTTGCGTTCATATAGATGATAACATGATTTGATGTGATTTGAGTTTTGAAATGTTGGTTCTTGTACAATGAACATATTCAGATAGGCCATGAGTGAACATGGACTCGTTGGCTCTGGTTGCTCTTGGGATTCAATTCTTGGAGTTATTTATGCATATGAGTAGTCTGATATTATTTTTTGCTTATATGATGTATGCTATACTATGTATCTGACCTTTCATGCAGAAGTGAACTCATAGGTGGAGACATCTCCATAAACCTTGAGTTTACAAGATTTATTTCTCACACTGTGTTGTGAGGATATTTCAGGTATTTCAGCATTTGTTGATCAGTCATATCAGGACAAGAGGCTTGTGCAGAGTGGCTAGTGTTGGAGCTAGATTTTGTATTTTTGAATCTTCTGTGTATATGTATATACTTTTCGAGGCATGTGTAGTATCCATGCATGTTGGTAGCTGTTATCTTTTTGAGAGGCATGTTTAGCCTTTGTTTTGATTATCTGTAATGAAGTATGAATTTTAGTATGTATTTGTGTATTGGTTTTAAGCCACAGTTCAATATACGAGGTATTTCATATATGTGTGTTTATCTGCTGTGATTTAAGATTCGCAGGTTTAATTATGTTTAGGACTGAACACTGAGTCAGATTCTGTGTGAATTCATGGATGAATTCTAAGTCTGATAATGTTTATTTATGTTTTGCGTAGATTTTCTGTATTACAGAAATTTGGGTTTATCCGAATTACAGTTGTTATGTTGTCCGTAAGTTTCTGGTCAGAATAGTCTTTATAATCATATTTGAATAGAATATATCTGTTAAGTACAGATATGAATAGAATAGACATAGGTAGACCGTTCAAGAAATTTGTACAGGTATGAGACTGTATAAATTACGATAATTGGAATAAAGTTTTGTGCGTGGCAATGCGGGGGATAATAGGAAATGCGTTAATTTATTAAGGTAACATAACCATAATAGTAATAGGATGAAAGAAAAAGTTTATCTGTCTTTTTACAATAACTAAAGTAAATACGCATGTTAAGCCTTCCGCTTAATTTAAAATTTGTAGAGCGCTGATGTACCATATGTAGGTTAACTCATCGGTTGCAGATGGGGTGTTACACACAACATTGACAATGTTTCATAAAAAAGAAAGAAAAAGAAAAAGAAAAAAAAGAAAAACTAAATTGCAATAGTTTATGGAAGAAAAACATACCAAGAATTAGCAATCAATGGTGTAGCCATGTTTTATTTAGGTAGTGCCTGGCCCCAGCTATATTTCAACAAATTTTATTTATTATATATAATTATATAAGTAATTATAATTGGGCCCTAGCTAAAATTGTAAGCTAGCCCTAGCTAAAATTGTAATAGTGGTATTAGATGAAGATTTGGTGCTCCTTTGCGTGTGATAACAAATTGCTTTCTTCTTAATTTCTTCTTTTTCTTTCGTCTTTTTTCAATTAGGGTTTTCTTCTAACTTTTTTTTTTCTTATTCGCACTCACCACTCGGAATCCAGTCATTCATGATGTTTCGTTCCTTTATCAAGATTTATCGGATACATATTCTTGGAATATGCATTAGTAATTATATTGTCAGCTGGGTAAAAAATTAATTTACATTATTAAACCTTGTAAAAGAGAAATTCTTTGTCGTTGCTGAACATAATTGTTTATTGGGTATTTCAAACATGAGAGAAATTCATGCCCCTTTTTTTTATTTACAACTTTTTTGTGTGTGGTTGTATTTATTGATTTTATTTCTTTTGAAAAAGTGGAGTGTTGTTTTACATTTACCTTTTTTTTAAAAAAAATTATTTTAATGTAGAGCTACAGTTGCTATTAGTAATGGAATTAAATTGTTTCTTGGTGCTATTTGTATTTGAGTTCATAACAGGAATAGAAAAACACACAATTCAAGAAAAGCATATAAGAGCTTAAAACAAAGCTTATTCTAGGAGCTTTTAGCTTTTAGCTTTTTTCTTCATTATTAAAAAAATAATTTTTCATTATAAAAGATTTTCTCAAAATCTGTTTGACCTAGTTTATGCTTATAAGTAACTTCTAACTCAAAAAAAAGAGGATCCAAACAGGCACTTGATACCCTAAGTCTATGTAAAATATTTACAGCATTGTTATCAAAAAAAAAAAAAAAATATTTACAGCATTTACTAGCCTATGAGCCTATTAAAGTCTTCATTTATGGGGTTTGACCTGACCTATTATAAAAAATTAAAAAATCTAATACGGCCTGTAAGGCCTACTAAGTTGTAAACTAAGTTTATAGGCCCAAACCAAATTGAAATATAAAAGATAAAATTTTTATTCACAAAGATCACATGAAATAAATTTTCATTAACATCACATGAAATAATGTTCATAAAGATCACATGAAAATTTTCATAAAAATCACATGAAAATTTCATATATATATATATATACATAGAATTTGCAATTTCTTTGCTAATTTAATTTTATATTATATTTTAAAATTTAAATAAATAATTATTATTTGTTAAAATAACATCAATCCTGTTACTTTGAAAATTAGTGTTACAAATTATGATCTTAGAATATGTTTTTAAGTAAATAATATATATCATAGATATGTTATATTATTAAAAAAATTAAAAGGTTAGCATGTAGACAAGTCAAATTTTTCTAATAGATTTGTGTAATTACAATAAATATTTTGATAATTTGATATGTCAAATTTTTTTGACTCTACTAAAATTATATCCTAGCTCCGCCACTGATTAGCAAGACACATTTTCTAAACGTTATACATATATAAAAGCTAGAAACTTAACCATTACCGGCCTATGCAGACAATGGTTCTTTATAAACAGAAAGTAATATAACAGTTTTGGACAACATTGGCAATGTTTCATTAAAAAGAAAAAAAAAAGAAAAAAAAAAACTAAATTGCAATAGTTTACGAAAGAAAAACACACCAACAATTAGCCAGACACATTTTCTAAACATTATGCATATACGAGGAAACCATAACCTGAATATTATTGCAGACAATAATGATTTTCCATTTAATAATTCAAAATCTGAAATTACTAACTTTAGTTATGAACAATGTTTTACAAATCAATAAACAATTTCAATGTTAAAAAAAACACACACACACCAGAATGGTTAGGGCAGGATTTGAAATTGTTAGTGCTGACTGCTGATGGCAAGACGCTGTAATCGAGCGGAATCTTCAACATTGTCTGAAGTAATTTTGATAATTCAAGCCATGCTAGGATTTCTGTTTGTACACTAAAGAAAGCACTAATTCACATATCAAATGACGATATTGCCCTTTCTTTAACGGTCTTTCTGTTTTCAATTTCAAAAACATTGCAAAAGATACAATTGTCCATTGATTTGTACAACTATAAGTAATATAACATTTTCCCACATATAAAAGTGCTAATGCGACCTTCAAAAATGTATCTTACTAAATCTGACCACTTAGCATTAAAATCTCGCAAATAAAAATTAATATTAGTTTGCATAGACTACCGAGAAAATCGGTTAATCAAAGAAAATTCACCATTTGTTTATGAAAGCAACAATCCATGGTAGCATTACTAACGGCAAAAATAAAACAGCATACGATATCAAGAAATCGTTTTGCACATAACATAACACAGACTAAACCAATTATTAAATCCACTATTATCAAACTAAACCAATTATGGATTGGTCTCATTCAATTAGAGAATAAGTTGTGCAATCAACCCGGTATTAAAATGATAAATTAAGCATAACTTGCGGTGTTATTAAATTCGAATTGAAGTGGCTGGTTGACAACTGGATTATGGACAAGTTCAGTTCAGTCATGGATAGATTGTGCAATCAACCCAATATTAAACCTGTAAACCGAGTATAACTCGCTGTCCAAGTGGTATTAAATCGGTACCAGTTTTTCAAATGAACCGATTTTTAAAACTTTTAATAAAATATTTTAAATGGGAAAGGATATTGTAACAACTAAATTGTTACTATCAATGTTACTATTAATCAATTTCACCGTTAGATTGATTATGTTGATCTAACGGTTATATTTATTTCCATCTTTGTATGATTATGATTCTCCATATTTAAAGTGAAAGCATTAAATATGAAAGATCATAACTGTACAAAGGTAAAAATAAATATAAAGTATTAAATTTCAAAAATTATGATTATACATAAAGAAAAATAAATATAATCGTTGGATTAACATAATCGATCTAACGTTAAGATTGATTAACAGTAACATAATTTGTTCGGTACAGTATCTTTCCCCTTTTAAATTTTGCAAACTTAAAACAGCGAAGCGAACCCATGACCTGTTGAAATATCAACTATCCATCATATAATCGATTTCCTGAACTACTAAAGAAAGAAAATCATCCTTGTAGACAAAAAAAAAAAAATTGAATTCTTAGGCATTGAACAATCGAAGTCATTAATTAAAGATTAGGAACCTAGCATGTTCTTAACAAAACAAAACAAAAAAGTATTGACTCCCCAAATTTTGCCCTTCCCGCCGATTGCTTCTCCGGCGGTGGTTATTCGCCGGTTTTCTCTGTAGCTTGTAATTCACAAGTTTTGGCTCCCAGTAAGCGCTTTCTCATTCTGATTTTTATTTTCATCTTTGCTTTAATACAACTATGAACCTATTTTCAGTGTTTGTTTGATTGTATTAATTTGTGGGAATATATGAGAGGGTATCTGGAACCATGCATGTAGGCTTTTATAAACCACGTTTCGCTTGAATAATCTCGGTGTATTAATTGCTGGGTTTTTATATTTCGTTTTGTGGGTTATATCTATTTTACTTTAGTCTGTGGATTATATAGGGGGACCTAATAAAGAAGAATGAGATTCTGAAATGGATACTTTAGAGAGAATGAGAATTTAGAACAAAGCACGGTAGAGACTAGAGAATTGCTGAAGTATTTGAGAAAATGATAAAGAGAGGGATTTAGTGGTTGGTGAGAGTACATTTCAAGAGATGATAGTGGCGCTTTAAAAGGGTGTTGAGTGTTGTTGTGACTTGAGAATGGAAAGCCTTATTTTTAAATTGATGAGAAAAAAAAAATTGCAAAATAATTGGATTACTGGTTACCTCTAAAGCAAATACTAGGTAGGTGTACCAAGTAAGAGTAGAAAATAGGAATAAATTCTTATTTTGGGAAAATAATTGAGTGTGGCTATATTTTTTGGTGTATATATATTATTGTTTGTCTTTTCTCAGAGCTTGCATGCATGTACTTCCAACTGTAATAGGAAGATGAATTTCGTTTTTGGGTTTCTTGGAGTTTGAACTTTTGGTGCTTTACTTGTTTACACAATTCAGAATGGCAAAATCAACTTCTTGTTCCATTTCATAGGTTTTACTCCCCCTTTTGCATGTCAAGTTCCATATACATGACCCAAACGCTTTTTTATTTATTATTATTATTTTCTTTCACTTTATAACTTTGCATGCTCATTTGATTACTCAATTAGCTGAACTATATGGACTGTTTACTTTGCTTGTAAAGTTTGTTCAAAGACTAAATTTCTCTTCTCTTTTTGCCTCAAATCCCTATTATAGGGCAGATGGGGTTGGAACGATGATATACAGATTATTTACTCTGCTTGTGCATTTGTTTCCATGTTGCTCTAATGATTCTGTTTGAAATGCAGAATATGTGGGATTTGACGCTAGAGAGCTTCCTGAAGAATGCACTTTTGAAACAGCTTTTGCAGACTTGGTTGTGAGCTCATTAACAAAAACACCGTACAATCTCAATCTTGCCAAGTATTTTGTACATCTAGGCGCTAACACTACTAATCATTTATCAGGACAATTCCTTGCAATAAGCTGTGTGGTCTAATGAGGAAAATAATAGGAAGCTAACTAGGTATGACATCAATGTGATAATATAGTGTCCTTTTAGTCCTTTACATGGAAACAAAAAAAGAATGCAATGTGCTTACATTAATTTACACTTATTCTGTAGAATGATTAGGAAGTTCAGGGACCATGAAGCAAATTTTCTTTGCTAGAATGCAACTGATTGATTTTAGTGTAATTTTTAAGCCCGAGTACATTCTGTTGCCAGGATTGATTTCTCATTCGGTAAGTGAGAATTCTTGAGGTAGTAATACATGTGACATATAGTAAGGTTGGTATGGATATTAATCAAAATATTGGAAACTTTGAAGGTAAGTTGCATCCATTAACTTTTTCGAAGCTTTATGATCTAATTGTGAAATAAATGTACTAATTAAGATTAAAAAAATATTTGCATCTTTAGTTTGCAATAACCCGATTCTTCTTCACATTGTAGTTGGATTCATGCACAGATTGTCCTGGAACTTGTCAATTAGGTTCAAATATTGAAAAAGAAAGGTTCCACATTTGCCACACTGCACGACATAGGTATGTGTTACGAGTTTGCTATTATTATTTTTTATTAATTTGTTATTTTTGAATTGTTGCTTTGTTTAGGTTAGTGGATAAGTTCTAGTACTAGGTAGTTAGTGGATAAGTGCTAGTAGTGAGTAGTATATTAGAGATAAGTTTGCTGCAGTAGTTATCTAGTTTTCAAATATTGTAACTTCTATTTAAAATTTCCATCGAGTGAATAAAGAAATCATCATAACAAGTATTTGGAAAAGCACTGTGTGCTAGACATCAAGCTTCCTCAATAAAGATACCCTTCTATTTGTTATTTTCCTCGTGCTATTTTATGCCAAAATACGTATAAAAAAAAAAGGTTAGAATAAGCCCACATATGTACCGGTTTGGTATTAGAGCACAAGCATGGACGAATACTGCTTTCACAATGCATCAGATTCGCACACAACATAGGCTCCCATTATTGGTGAAGTTGGATTTTCTGCAATTCGATGATAATGAAGAGCCAACGAGTTGGCTATGATGGGCTAAGCAATTTTTCCAGTATAATTGCACCTCGAAAGAAGCAAGAGTTTCATCGGCGTCTTTCCATCTCACCGGTGTTGCTCAATTGTGATACCAATTACTCATCCAAGACCATTCAAATATCACGTGGTTATTTTTCTCAGTGTTGTTCCCTTTTTGTTATGGCTCTTGCTTCTTATTCTTGGCAGCTTTTCTTATTACGTTCCTTGATCCTTTCTGGTCTATATCTGGGCTTTGTGGTTTTGATGGAATGAATGTGAAGGTCTTGATGGAGGTGTTTAGGCTGAGCTGTGGTGGGGTGACTGTTTGATTGATGGCCCTTATCCTTTTGGAGTGTCACAAGTATCTCTGCAGTACTAACATTATCAAGGTAAGTTCAGAAGTTTCGATGTGGTTGCACCTTGAGAATGTTCTCATGAAAGTGTGTTTGGCTTTTTCGTTCCTCACCTGCGGGTTCACACAGATCAACATCCTTCACAAATCTAAGGGTCAAATTCAATTTCCTCTTTATCTATTTTTAGAATTCTATTCAAGAGAAAAAAAATGTTAACTCATTAGCATTCTACCTCATGCTTTTACTTTTCATTATCATGCAACAGAATTACTACAACTAAGTTATTTTATCAAAACAGTTGATTTTGAACTCTCAAAGAGATTTTACTAATACAAAAAAGATTTTACACTACGGAAGGAAAAACTAAAAGCTTTTACTTTTCAGCCCTATGGTCCTCACTAAGTGTGAGGCAGTGTGACCCATGATGTACAGGGTTATGCATGAAAGGGGAGTGTGAGGAAACACGTGTGCAAGGGAGCCACGCGCTGAATGATGGTGGAACCACCTAGTAGTTGAGGAGCTGGTCAGATAGGTCCATCCAGCCAGACCAGAACACTAACATTAAATGCCTTAAAAGTTTCCTAAAACCAAGTTAATGCATTTATCCTTTCTCTTAGATAGGTTTTTTTGTTCAAATATAATTTGCAAATGAACAAGGTTCTGATGAGATTCTCACTAATAAAATAAAACCCCATCAAGGTGTCTTTATTAGAATTTTAAGGCGGCCGGTTCCTCAATCCTTACACCCTCGTATTAAACTCTCATAAATAAGATCATTAATCTGAAGTGGCCTTCATAGTTTAATGTATAAGGATTGGTCTGCAAAGACCAATTAAGGGGTTACACCCCTGCCTCTTCATAATAAGCTCGAAGATCTCACCATAGAAGACCTTGTTCCGGATGGCCCAACCATTGGCGGCCCAATGGTTCAGGCCCAGCTTCAGCCTCCTGCTCACGTCAGCCCTAGGAGCTACCAAGGATCCCTCCCCAACCCCCAACGCAACGACTATCCCTAGGAGAAGCACCAAAACGTCCTCTCTTGGGACCCCAACCCCCAAGGGAGACCGCCACAGTCACCTCAAAGGGAAACTGCCCCTTTGTCCCACGCTGACACCGCCAGACGCAGAGGGCGCAGCGCTGCTATCATAGCAGCGCCTGCCACGCCCAACACTGCCACCCGTAGTGAATCCCAAGGAGGGTTGACCCCCTCCTCACCAACTCACACCAGGTGCGCACCACCTTCCCCTATAAAGAGCCCCTTGGGCGCACCATGAAAGGATCTTATCTTATGTATCGTTATTATGCCCATTTATATTAAGTCACGTATACTCATACTGAATCATCCATTGTTATCTTCTTGCCATCATACTTGGTACAGTGTTCTCTAGCTTGGTCTTTACCTCTGCTAGTGGCACCATCCATACAGTGATATCATCCCCAAAAGGAACATAGTGGGCTTATAGATTCTAACGGTACAGGCCTCTCACTACTTAATACGTAGTGATGCGCGTCCTATCTAAAAACGGTGAGCTATTAGGAAAACAATTATAACTCTTTTCTCTTATCATTAGAAATATTTTTCATTTATATATATTTGTCTTCTCCACCTGAAGAGTCATCTTGCATCCATCAATTTTATGAGTTATTACTGTGCTAATATATAGAGTAGTCCTGCCCTTAGACCCTCCCTCTCTCAGCCATATCTGAGAGGGTGACTCTCATTGCCTTTGGTCTATATAACTACTTTGAACACCTATACAACTAGATAGTACCCCCCTCAAGGAACACAAACTTAGCTATAACTCCACACCAGCTCAATCAACAAGAAAACACTTTAAATGATGCAAAATTAAGATAAATAAGGGTCGTAAACGATAGAGAATATTCCTCTTTTATATCCTTAATATTAGTTTAACAGAGAACATTCTTAGAACAAAATTCCCTTCATGTCAAAATAACTATATAGACTTTCTGATCTATGAGATAAGAATTCTTGACACGTAACTTAAATTTGTGCCATAGTACAGAAGAAAAATCAACTTTTATTAAACCTTCCCTTGTTATTAAGAGAGAGAGAGTGTGTGTGTGTGGGTAATGATTTAGAGCCAGAGTGAGTTGTGAGCAACCAATATCTCAATTCACTGGACATCTCAACCTTCCAGCATCTTTTCATTTGCGTGGCTCGGCCTTCTTCTGTTCTTTGGCTGCAATAAATCAACAGTGAATATGTTATATTGACTTTTTGTTTTTGGGAATAAATTGTATGTTGTTAAGTAGTAGTGACCACTCACTTTTAGCCCGTACTAAAATTAAAGATATATGACTCACTAAACTGTCTTTACTGTACTCACTTTTTATTTTTAGTGTTATGATTTTAGTGATATGATATTATGTCTATATTTTTTCATAGCTACTCTACCTATTCTTTTTTAATACCGTTAGATCAAAATTTTAAGACTAGACAAAAAGAATGAAGGTCAATTGAGATTCTGATCTAACGAGATTGGAAACGGATACATAAAATAGGCATGAAAAAAATATAGAAATAATTTCATATTCCATGAATTTATAAATTTCTAATTTTTATTAATAAGTATGTACTACAATAGTATTGAGAACTTACTCCAAGAGAGGTAAGAGGAAAATTATTGGTAAGTGTTGCAGGTTGAACCTATGACACTATTATTCCTAAATTTAAAACAACTGAAACACACATTCTCTCTATTTCTTCTTCTTCCAAAAAGGTGTATATAAATTGTGTGCAAAAAGCATTTCTCTAAATTTGCAGCTCTTATTTAATGAAATCAGTACAATGAAACTTCTCAACATCTGAACTTCCTAGAGTGCAGCTAAAGTCTCAAACAGATGGATGGGAAATTTTTCTTACCAGCCTTCTCTTGTTCTCGCTTTTTAGCAGCCTCTGCTCTTTGTTGTCGTATCATTGCTAAGCGTTCTACAATTATCATAAAGCAATATTAATTCAAGGGGAAAAAAAACTTATAATATTGAAACAAATCTTATCTTGGCCAAAAAGAAGTTGAACCAATGGAACACTCGATATTTTTAGGTTTTACAAAGGTGAGACAGTGATTTCACTGGAAATGTTAAACTGAATAATGTAGAGCAGAAAGTGAGAAGAGCAAAAAAAAATCATGAATAGATAATTTGACAAGAGAGAGAGAATAATAACAACACTGAACAATACATATCTGTATATGGAGTTACTAATACTAAGCATATATAGCTGTTATCCACTATTTTTTTATTTTTTTGGGATAAATCATATGTATCTTCGACAGAAAGCAATCCTCTTCGGGGCGGATTCAGGATTAAGACTTTAAATTCCTCCCAAAGATGGTACTGGGATGGATCAAACACATATTCTTACTTCTACTTGTTCAGATCTCATGCGCTAACTGATCTATTTATTTTTACTATTGTAAAGAATCAATTTAACCCCAAAGCTTAAGCTGTTAGGTGAGGCTACATTAATGGTTTTATATATCTCAACATGCCCCCTCACACGAGAGTTGGTTTTATATATCTCAACACGCCCCCTCACACGAGAGTCCACTGGGCTTGAATGGTGGACAATGCACAGGTCCACCTACCTGTGCGAATAAAGAAATTCCACTTGAAAGAAAGTGGGGGCGGTGAGGATCGAACCCGGTACACCGAAGCTCTGATACCATGTAAAGAACCAATTCAACCCAAAAGCTTACGCTGTTAGGTGAGATTACATTAATGGTTTTATATATCTCAACAACTACATACACACATTCGGATACAATGCCACCAGATGCTTCTACCCTTGGACAAAAAAGTGAAGGTCATGAATCAAATTGTAATTATATAATGGGAAATACTAGTCTCGTATTGTAAAAGACTGGTATCTCATGTCATAAACACAAAGTATATGAAATTCACTCATTTATTTATTTATTTTAAAAGAGTAGACTCCACATGTTTTATGTCTATGATATGATATATTAGTCTCCTACAACATGAGACTAGTATTTTCCTTATATAATTCAAAATAATTGAACAAGATACTTAAAAGCAAACTTCATAGATGGTAATCACAAATCAACTATAACATACGAGGATTATTACCCTTCTTTTTAACAATAATTCTTTTTTTTTTTTGTATAAGTATGGAAATTAAAACAAACAAACTACTCACAGACTGGGTTCACAACACCCAAACAGTCATCTAACAGCAATTTACTACACCCAACAGGGGGGAAACTATGCCAAACAGTATTCCAGTCCAAAGTAGAAACATGTGCAGCCATCCAATCTGCAACTTTATTCCCTTCTCTAAGAGTATGGGATAACTCCACCCTCCAAATTCTCCCAATAGCTTCTTTCAATCTGCCTAGCAACGTGTGACAAGGATGAGACGTAGGACACCCATCCTGGACAATCCTCAAAGCTTCCATGGAATCTGTCTCTAGATTTACCTGTTGATATCCCAAATTTCCAGCCCATTCCAATCCAATAACCATGCCCCAAAGCTCAGCCAGAAGCACATTCCCATACCCAATCTTTTTTGAGAAACCAGCAATCCATTGACCAACATAGTCTCTAACCACACCCCCACAACTAGATGAACCTCCTTTAAAACAACAAGCTCCATCTGAGTTGATTTTGATCCAGTTAGGAGAGGGAGGCTTCCAGGAACTTACCTCTTTTCTCCTTTCAGGAAGGAGACCAGCCTTCGAAAGCAACTCATCAACCACCAACATATCCAGAATAAATTTCGAAGATTGATACACCATATCAATGGGTTGTCTTCTCGAATTATTGAAAATAAAATTGTTCCTTTCCTGCCAAATTAACCAGCACATGACCCCAAAGAATTTCCTCCATTCCAAGTTAGCTTTCCTCCTGCTCAGGCTCTCTTCTAACCATTCTTTAAATCCACCAGCATTAGAGAATCTAGCATTCATCCCTTTACAGACCATCCTCCAAATTTGTTGGGCCCACTCACAGTCTCTGAATATATGATTACAATCCTCCAAAGGATCATTGCATCTACTGCATCTGGCATCATCACAAAGATTCATTCTATTCCTTCTGTCATTAGTGAGTAGTTTCCCACCAATCAGTAGCCAGAGAAAGGCTTTGATTCTTTGGGGTCCCTCCCAATCCCAAGCTAAATGCCACTTAATACAATCATTCCTAATCAGAGGAGGGGATAGGAAATCATAGGCTGATTTAACTGTAAACATACCAGATGATGACTGGCTCCACATAACCCGGTCAGGACCATTACCAACAGAAGGAGGGTGAACTTCTTTAATAATATTGATAATCTCATCATCAAGAAATTTGTCAAATTTAGAGCATTGCCAAATTCCCTCTTGATTTATACAGTCAACCACCAGCCACTCTTTATCCCCTTCTGGAATTGGGCTTGCCACTCTATCAATTAGCCTTCCCACACCTGGAACCCAACTATCCCACCAAAATCTTGCACTGCACCCATTGCCAATACAAACTCTAGACCCATTCTGAACACAGCATCAGTTTTATAAATTCCTTTCCAGATGTTGGACCCATTCCTGTTTTCCTTCATAACAGGAACCAGATCACTGCTCACCAAATATTTGCTTCGCAGGATTTTAGCCCATAAAGCATCCTTGTTGGTCATCATTCCAAAGCCAATCTTCATGGAGAAAGCTTTATTAACAGTTCTCTGATCTCTTAATCCTAGCCCTCTTTCCTCCTTGGATCTACATACACTGCTCCACTTAACCAAGTGCATCTTCTTTTTCTCAGAACTTGATCCCCAAATAAACTTTCTAGTCACCTTTTCCACCTCATTACACACATTCGCAGGGATGATGGTGGACTGCATTGTATAAGCAGGGAGTGCCTCCAAGACAGATTTTGCCAATGTAATTCTACCAGCCAAAGAGAGAGAAGACTGGTTCCAAGATGAAAGCCTACTATACACCCTGTCCATTACACTGATGAGAGAGTTTCTAGAGGCCCTTTTATGACTCAGATTGACCCCCAGATACTTTCCCAGATCATTAGTAATCCCTACTCCAAGCTTATCACCAATCTCCTTAGCTCTAGTCACACCCACATTACTTGAAAACATGACTCTTGATTTGTTTTCACTGATTTTCTGCCCTGATGCAGCAGAGAACACCTTCAGCACTTGGTTGATTATAAAAGCCTGATCCACAGAAGCTTCTGCACATAAAATAATGTCATCTGCAAAAAACAGATGGGACAAAGGAGGAGCCCTCCTATTCAGAAAAACAGGCTTCCAAGCCTTAGAGTCCACAGCTAGCTGAATTAAATGAGCTGGTCTCTCAATACATAATACAAACAGGTAAGGAGATATTGGATCTCCCTGCCTAATACCCCTTTTCGATTCAAATTCCCTGGTCAAGCTACCATTCCACAACAGATTCAACTTGCTAGTAGACACACAGTTGCAAATAAGATCAATAAGGCTATTATTAAATCCTATATCAACTAAGGTCTCCTTGATAAAAGTCCAACTAAGCCTATCATAGGCCTTCTCCAAGTCCACTTTCAACATCATCCACCCCTTACTCCCTTTCTTCTTTCTCATAGAATGGACCACTTCTTGAGCTATGATGATATTATCCACACTTTGCCTCCCTTTTATAAAGCTGCATTGAGTAGGAGTCACCAGCCGAGTCATAAATCCCTTAAGCCTATCAGTTATAATCTTTGTCACAGCTTTGTAAACTACATTGCAAAGACTTATAGGTCTAAAGTCCTTCATAGTCTCTGGACTCTCTTTCTTAGGGATAAGGCACACTAGAGTCTTGTTAACCTCCTCCACTTTCTTCGGATCCAGGAAAATCTTAGAGATCATGCTACAAACCGAGTTTCCAACTATACTCCAGTTGGAATGGAAAAATACTGCTTGTAGGCCATCAGGCCCTGGAGCTTTAAACATCCCCATTTTGAAAATAGACTTCCGGATCTCTTCATCAGTAGGAATTCTGGACATCTCATCTTTCTCTTTAATGCTAAGATCAGGAAAGAAGCCTTTCACAGGGTAAGTATCTAATTCCTCCTCATCAGCAGAAAACAGGTTCTCAAAATACTTAACTGCCATATTGACTAGATCCTCTTTCTCAGCAACCCAGGCTCCCTCATCATTCCTAAGAGCAACAATTCTGTTGTGTCTCCTCCTAGCCCCTGTGGATGAATGAAAGTACCTAGTATTCTTATCTCTATACTTTAGCCAATTACACCTGGATCTTTGAAACCAGGCTAGCTCTTCCCTAACCAGAATCTCTTGAAGTTCTGTCCATAACCTTTTTTGGAGAATCTCCATACTGTGGTCATACCATCCAGACTGATAACTATCAATGCCACTAAGTCTGGCATAAATATTATTCTTCCTTTTGATATTCTTCCTATAGACATTAAGATGCCACTCCCTGGCCTTTCTTTCAAACTTACTCCTAGCAAAATTCTAATCAGGCTGATTGCTCCAACTATCCTTCACCACATCCTCAAATCCTTCCACTGTCATCCAGGAAGCCAAAAATCTGAATGGTTTATCCTTCTCCTCCAACCTGTTGACCTGCTCCTGAATTAATAGGATAGGCCTATGGTCCGAGTTAAAGTAGGGCAGATGAGATAGGATGCTATTAGGCCAGCTTAGATTCCAAGCTTCATTCGAACAAGCCCTATCAAGTCTTTCCTGGATTTTACCCCTCTTCCAAGTAAAATTTGGTCCTTTAAACCCAATGTCACCAATATCACAGCTAGTTAAGCAACTCTGCATACCAATGAGGTTACTGCCACTGACCTCTCTGCCCCCAATCTTTTCAGAAGCATTCAAAACTGAGTTGAAGTCTCCTAAAACCCAAGGGCCAGCTATCTCCTGAGCAATATTTTCCAGGCTCAACCACAAGGATTGTCTCTCCAATCTTCTTGGACTGCCATACACAAATGTGATATACTCGAATTTCATCTTATCCAAATAAAGCACCTTAGTGTGAATAAATTGATGATGAGCATCAATAATTTCCACCTTCACCTTCTTCTCATCCCAGAGTAACCAGATACCCCCTGAGAACCCAACAGCATCTTTCTTGAAGTTACTAGCAAAGCCAAGCTTCTTTATTAACTTGTCCCCTCTACTACCACTAATTTTAGTCTCTAACAGTGCCAGAATACTAAAATTAAACCTATATCGCATGTCTCTAATTAAGGCATGGAATTCCTTTTTCCCCACCCCTCTACAATTCCAAGAGCAAATAAACATAACTTTATTTACAGAGGGGACCCACAACAACCAATTAATGGAAATTCAGAGATCTAGCACCCCTAAGGGTGTTAGAATAAAGCTCACGCACCTGATCCACCTGAACTATAGGGATCTCACTTGGCACAGCAGATAGCACCACTCATTTCCCTTTGACCTTGGTTTGATGAGATTCATCCATTGGACTACCACAACCCATTGGCAGGTCTTTACTTCTGCTTCTCTGTTTGCTCCCAGAGTCAGGACCAACCACCAAGGCATTAGGCGGCAGATTCTCCATCTCACCCTTTTTCTGAAGCACACCTTTACTATTTTTCACTCCACTAGCTCCATTTTTGCTCCTGCTCTCCTTAAGGACACATTTCTTTTGTCTACCAGCATCCAACTTATTGACCTTTAGAGAAGGGCAAGGACTGGAGATTTCAGGAATGGCTCCCTTAACAGCTAAACCTCCCTCTATAATCTCAGAACTCCTACTAGGTTCACCAATGGGATTCTTAGCCATGCTAGCCACTTCCTTGATACCTGCCATATTAACATTCGGGATATCAATCCTAGCCTCTCCCTTAGGGGCCTCTACTTTCTCAGCACCTTGCTTCACCTTGACAACCCCAGGATCCTCAATCACACCAACCACTTTTTTCATTGGCACAGCTTTGGCTTTTCCCCCTCTTTTTATTCTCTGAATAATCATCCAGATGTCGAACGCTTCCTCCTCCTTTCCTTTCTCCCTAGCACAATCAGCTGCTTTACCCTCCATAGGCTTCTGGCTCCCTAACTCAGCCCCCACCTGCTTAACCTGATCCCTAAGCTGGTTGTCCACACACTGGTCTTTCCTATGGCCATACATACCACATCTAAAGCAAACTAAATGCAAGCCTTCGTAACCAATTTATATACTTTCTCCCCAATCTTGAACTTCGACAAGAAACTTCTTCGTAGGTCCACCTCCACACAGATATGAGCAAACTTTGCTCTCTCTGTAATGACATCATCACCAAGCTCACTTCTGCGAAGGGAGTTCCTATCCACTTTCAGCGTCCTTCCAAACAGGTTCCCAATCTTCCATAGGTAGTGCGCAGTATAGAACTCAATAGGGAGTCCAGGAACCCTAATCCATACTGCCAGCTTCTTAAACCCCTCATCATAAGGGTCAAAAAATGGACGCCATCTCTGGACCACAACATAGTGATCCGCCACGATCCAAGGACCTTCCTCCAGCACATGCCGATAATCCCCCTCATCCTGGAATCTCAAAAGAAGATGGCCATTATCTAGGTCAATCAACTCATACGTTGATACCAGATTCCATAACCTTTGTAGCCTAGCCATTAGGAACCGCGCCCCAATCCTTTTCCCCAATAGCTTGATAATTAGGGCTTTCCTCCATTGACGGCAGTCTTCCTTATGCTGACTCTTGGAAAATTGAAGTGATGGACAAAGAGGATCATCCTCTGCACCTTGGATCGGAACCTCCTCACCACCATCTTCCTCTTCCTCCCTACGTTGGATCTCTCTCCAATCATCTTCGTCAAACTCTGATATATTATCACCACCGTTTAACCTGATTAGCTTGTCTCTGTAAGAGACAAACTTCTTCCCAGGCACCTCATGCATGAGCACCACCTTCTCCGGGATGGAAGATTTGGAGCCCTCACTTTCACCAGTCTCCTGCTTATCTAACATTTCATCATCCATGTTCACATCAGCCATAGCCTCACCTTTAGGCTTCTTCATACCTCTCAGGATCGAGTCTTCCTCCTCCGCCGTTCTCTCACGCGCTCCACGCGCGCCATTTTCCTCTGTTTCCATCTCAAATCTCCTTTCTCTCTCTATCTCTTCAGTTGCACTTTTCCACAATCACTTTTAACAATAATTCTTAAAACATCAGAGGAAGCAATAGAATTCTAAACCATCTAATCTTTAAAAAATTAACTTTTATTTGGAATACTCACTATTATCCAATATTACAAAATGGAATAGGATAATTTCAGTGAACAATCAATAGATATGCAACGTGTCAGTACAATAAAGATATTTTGTTAAACAGTCACCTAAATCTTTTCTTGCTTGTTCTGTTTTCCCTTGCTCCTGTAGCCTCATATATCGCTCATGAGCCTTTTGTTTCTCTATCTCCTCCCTGCAGACAACTAAGTGAGAACTAAGACAAAAAGTAAACGGGGGAATGTCACAAAAAGAAAGGATCACAATTTTCATATATATATAGAGTAGAGTTATATTGACAATTTTTATTTTTTTTACAAACTATACTATGTCTGATCGGTAATACTCTACTCAAGAGTGTATTACCAGTCAGACATAATGTAGTTTGTATGAATTTGTAAACAAAATTTTTGTAAATATAACTTTTTTCATATATATATATATATATATATATATATACTATTTGATTTATTAATTTTGTATATGAGTCAGTTCTTACAATCTAATCTTTCAATTAATTTAAATAATAGAAAAACTTATAAGTTTTTAGCATCTTATGAAAAGAGTCTAATGTACAGATCGAACAAAGTTAAGAGGAAAAAAAAATCACTTCTCGTTAAACTCGACTAGCGAGTGTGGGGTGAAGGAAATATTTGTATGCAGCCTTACCTTTGCATAATATTTGTTACCCCAAAAAAATGTAACAATTAATAAATAAATACTTACATTTTCTAATAAATCCGTAGATTCAGATGACAAACTTAGCAAAAGTACATCTTATGCAGAAAAATCTCTAGGGTAATTCTGGAAAGCTACGGCTAAAAAACCTTCATTAAAGTACTGCAGAGTCTTTACAACATGAGAATTTTTCCAAACATATTAGAATTTTAACCAATAGCCATATAGAAGCACGGTCACCACAAACAAACATTACAAACCAGTTACACTATTACAGAAAAATGTTAAAATTTTATAATCGCCACCGGTTGGCGGTCACATACCAAATGGTTTATACCAAATAAAAAATCAATTAAGCACACAGTCAAGTGTGTAATATACCTTTCACGCCTTGAGAGTTCTGTTTTCCTCTCCATCTGCATCAAATATATTTAACTCAAACATGGTAGATAACCAAATGAAACAGTCAAGTAAAAGCCATTATTTCAGCTTACATCAACATCTTTGGCCTTCACATTCTTTGCTTTCTCGAAATTAGGATTTTTTATCTCAATTATTCCCTCAGTGCCTTTGCGCTTCTGCTTAAGACCCCAAAAAACCATGTGGATGTTATAAAAAATCACCAGAACCAGAAGCAAGAATATAAAGCAGCAGTGAACGCTAACCTCAGGTTCTTCTTCCACTTCCTCCTCTTCAGACACTTCTTCTATCTCTTCTTCTGCCTCTACCTAACAGACACAAGAATACCAGAAATTTCATAACACGTAAAAACGATACATTATCAAACACACTAAACAAATCCTAAAGTGTTAATTCAACCTGTTCCGGATGGCCCAACAATACAACGGCCCAAAGATCCAAGCCCAATCTCAACCTCCTATCCACGTCAGCCCTACTAGCTGTCAGCCCCCCAACCCCCAACACAACGACACTCCCTAGGGGAAACACCAAAATGTCCCGTCCTGGGACCCCAACTCCCAAAGGTGACCGCCCCAGATACCGTAAGAGGAAACTGCCCTTTATCGCACGCTGACATCGCCAGGCTAGGGGGCGCATCGCTGCTATCATAGCAGCGCCTGCCACGCCCAGTAGCGTCTGCCACCCTAGCAGATCCCAAGGAGGGTTGACCCCCTCCTCACCAACCCACACAAGGTTCACATCACCTTCCCCTATAAATAAGCCCCTTGGGCACACCAAGAAGGTATCTTATGTATCGTTATTCTGCCCATTTACATTGAGTCACACATACACACACCTAACCCCATTGTTGATTGCTTGATTCATACTTGGAACAGTGCCTCTTAGCTTGGTCTCTACTTGTGCTAAGGGTATCATCCATACAGTGACTCCATCTTCAAAGGGAACATAGTGGGTTTATAGATCCCAACGGTACACAACCCAAGATCTTAACTTTTGAATTGAATGGATTCTTTATATGATATCAGAGTTTTCATAGTATCATAATATCATTGACTCATTCTATTGACAAGTAATTAGCTCCGGTGAATTGGGTTAAATATTGTGTAGTTTTTTAGAGAGATAGGTTGATCCATGTATTGTCTCCCTTTCAAACCTAAGGAACTCTTGTGCGATAGGTTAAGATAGAGAAATAAAATATAAAATCATTAATATGAACGACCTTGTTGAATTAATTTTTTACACAAGCCAAATAAGATAATGCGAAATAAGATAATGTCAACGAACAGCCAGGAATGGAAAGAAATAAAGAAAGGAAGGTACATCAACAAGGGAAAAAGGAATGTTTCTTATGGCATATAATTACAAACTATATCACTTCACAAATACATGATATATATTCAACATACACATAGCCATAAAAACAGAAGAAAAATACTAGTGGGTTCAATTTAACATCATCCATAATCTGCTTCGTTACATATTAGTAAGAGTAATTTGATGAAGTTACTAAGAACTAGCTATATATGAAGGTATCAGCAATTTACGGCTAACAGTTGTTCAGAACACTTGAAAAAGGGTATTCTGATATATTTTAGAATTGCAAATAATCTGTACAAAGGGTTCTCTATTTATAGAGAATATTTGACCTACTTTTAACCTAATGGGCTTGGCCCAATACAACAATAAATGACTAAATAAAAACTAAATAATAACTAAATCATTATTATTTACAACACTCCCCCTCAAGCTGGGGAATAGATATTTATCATTCCCAGCTTGCTAGTAAGTTCTTGAAATCTGTCTGAAGGAAGCCCCTTTGTTAATAGATCAGCTAATTGACGGCCAGTGGGAATGTATGGAGTGGTAATCAACCCGCTATCAAGTTTCTCTTTCATGAAATGGCGGTCGACCTCAATATGTTTAGTTCGATCATGTTGAACTGGATTATGAGATATACAAATAGCGGACTTATTATCACATAGCAGCTTCATAGGTCCCTCACATTTTATTTTGAGATCATCAAGTACAATTTTCAGCCACAGTAACTCACAAATGCCTTGAGTCATAGCTCGAAATTCAGCTTCTGCACTTGATCTGGCAACCACATCTTGTTTCTTACTTCTCCATGTCACCAAGTTACCGCAAAGAAACATGCAATAACCAGTGGTAGAACGACGTTCAGTCACGGATCCAGCATAATCAGCATTTCTGTAGACTTCTAAAGATAGATTGTCATCACGTCGGAATAACAATCCTTTACCAGGAGTACCTTTAAGATACTGAAGAATTCTCTCTACTGCCTGCATGTGTTTTTCCTTTGGATCGTGCATAAACTGACTGACAACACTAACAACATAAGCTAGGTCTGGTCTAGTATGGGCCAGATATATCAATTTCCCAACTAGCCGTTGATATTGTCCTTTATCAACTGGAGGACTCTCTTCTTCATAGCCCATCTTGTGATTCTGCTCAATAGGAGTATTAGAGGGTTTACACCCGAGCTTTCCTGCTTCTTTGAGAAGATCAAGAACATATTTTCTCTGGCTGATAAAAATTCCTTTGCTTGAATTAGCTACTTCTATCCCTAGAAAATATCTCAGTTTCCCAAGGTCTTTGACTTCGAACTCAGACGCAAGCCGTGTCTGCAGAATCTGTCTCTCCACAAAATCATCACCTGTGATAATAATATCATCAACATATACAAGGAGCACAGTAAGCTTCCCGTTTTGGGAGTGCTTGAAGAAAAGAGTGTGATCTCCTTGACTCTGTCTATATCCTAAGGTCATCATAACCTTAGTAAACCTTCCAAACCAAGCACGAGGTGACTGCTTCAATCCATACAAGGCCTTTTTTAATCGACAAACTTTATTTTCCCCCCTCACAGAATCAAAACCCCCTTCACAGAATCAAAACTAGGCGAGATTTCCATGTAGACTTCTTCTTCTAACTCACCATTGAGGAAAGCATTTTTCACTTCAAATTGATTTATATCCCAATTGTAATGGGCAGCAAGGGACAACAAGATTCTCACTGTATTCATCTTTGCAACTGGAGCAAAGGTTTCTTCATAATCAATGCCATAGGTTTGAGTGTAACCTTTGGCGACTAATCGAGCCTTGTATCTCTCAAGAGTGCCATCAGAATTATATTTTAGGGCATAAACTCATCTGCACCCTACTGCTTTCTTTCCGTTGGGTCTATCAATAACCTCCCATGTTTTATTTTTCTCCAACGCATTCATCTCCTCTTGCATGGCTTGAGCCCAATTCCCATCTTTCAAAGCTTCATGTACTGATTTTGGGATTGAAGTAGAATCTAGTGCTGAAACAAAGCTTTTGTGCTGCACAGAAAGATTAGCAGAGGAAACAAAATGGGAGATAGGGTATTGAGTACAAGAAGGACAGGAAGAACAAGATTTCTTGGAACAAGATCTTTTTCCTTTCCTTAAAGCAATGGGTAAATCATCAGAAGCAGTAGTAATGGGTAAGTCATCAGAAATATGAGATTCAGGACTTACCAGTGGTTCAGACGATTGAGGTTGCTGTTGAGGCAATGTGGGCTGTTTCCTTCTTTGATATACCAATTCAGGTGTTACAATCTTCCGTATCTCTTGTGTACTTGATGTATCAGTCATAGGAGGATCAGTCACTGGAGGATCAGACATAGACACATTAGGAACAGGAACAAGAGGAAGAGACACTGACACAGGTGAAGGAGTAGACACTGAAGTTTCAAAGAAGCAAGGTGATGAGTCTTCTGGTGAATTATTCTCCCCCTGAAGATGAGGACCTTGGAAAAAGGACTCAGATTCCTGAAATGTAACATCCATAGAAACAAAAAATTTCTGACTTCCAGGGTGATAGCACTTGTAGCCCTTCTTATCAGGAGCATATCCAAGGAAGACACATTTAAGAGCCCTAGGATCTAACTTACTGCGATGCTGTTTATGAATATGAACAAAGACAACACACCCAAACACTCAAGGAGGAAGACTTTGCAAAGTTGGAACAGAAGGAAAAAAAGAAGTCATGGAGTGAATAGGACTTACATGATCGAAAACCCGAGTGGGTAGACGATTGATCAAGAACGCTGCAGTGAGAATGGCATCTCCCTAATAGCATTTGGGTACATGTGTTTGAAACAATAAGGCACGAGCAACTTCAAGAAGGTGACGATTTTTCCTTTCAGCAACCCCATTTTGTTGAGGGGTGTCTACACAAGTAAGTTCATGAATCATACCTTGATTTTGTATAAATTGGAAAAAAGAGTGATTGACATATTCAGTACCATTATCTGTCCTTAGTCTTTTGATTTTTTTACAAAATTGAGTCTCAATCATTTTATAAAATTGAAAGAACAGTTGTGGTACCTCAGACTTTTCATGCATTAAGTAAACCCAAGTTACACGAGTGCAATCATCAATAAAAGAAACAAACCATTTATTTCCAGAAGAATGAGGGACCTTAGAAGGACCCCAAACATCAGAATGAATAAGATCAAAAGGTTCAACACTTTTAGTAATACTAGAAGGGAAAGACACACGATGATGCTTAGCAAACTCACAAACATCACAATGAAAAGACTCAACAGACTTAGACAAAAACAAAGACGGAAATAAAGACTTGAGTAAACTAAATGGAGGATGTCCCAAGCGCTTATGATGAAGCCAAATCAGAGAATCAGCAGTTGACTGGCCATGTGACAGTAAGATGTGATCCTTAACATGAGTTGCAGGAGATTTTGACACCAGATAATACAGCCCACCTTGCTCTTTAGCACCCCCAATCGTCTTCCCTGTGGCGAGATCCTGAAAAACACAGTGAGTAGGAAAGAAGGTTACGGTGCAATTTAAATCTTTTGTGATTTTTATGAATAGAAAGAAGATTAGTAGAAAGTTTAGGGAGATGAAGAACATCTTTGAGATGTAAGGAAGGCTGTAATTTTATGTTACTAGAACCCGCAACTGATGTATGGGAGCCATCAGCTACGACTATCGTATGAGTGCCAATGGTAGGGTTATAAGAAACAAAGGGGTCAGCACAACAAGCCATATGATTAGTAGCACCAGAATCAACAACCCAAGAATGTTTAAGATCAATACATGAAGTAAGAAAAGAAGAAATTTTGGAGCTCATACCAGTCATAGCCAAATCACTAGTACCAGATGGCTTACTCAGAGAATCAAGTATGGTCCGAAGTCATTCCAACTCATCTGGACGAAATGCAGGTTGGGTCTCATTAGGTGTAGGAGCTATATCAGAAGAAGTAAAATGCGCTTGACCACGCATCCTTGCCATCTTTTCTAAGACAGTTTGTTTTCCATGGAGGCGATAGCATAGATCCTTGATATGACCTGTTCTTTTACAATAAGAACACCAGCGATCATCTTTCTTAGGTCTAGAAGATGCTCCATCAGAATATTTTGGAAAGGAACTCCTGTAAGTAGAACCATCCTTTTTTGTTGAAATCATAGCAGACCCATCAGTGGGTTTAGAAGCAGCACCATCTTTTGATGATAACATGACAGATTTATCAGGGTTCATCATAACACCCCGACGATTCTCCTCTCCCCGAACAGTATTGAAAACAGCAGAAAGGGATGGAAAAGTTTCTTTGCCAAGTATCTGAACCCAAATAGGATCATACTCGGAATTCAAACCAGCAAGAAAATCAAAAATACGCTCATTTTCCACCTTCTTGGCTAAAGCAGTAGCATCTGCAGTACATTTCATCTTCAAACTCTGAAATTGATCAAGTTCAGTCCATAACTCCTTCAAGGTGCCATAGTACTCAGTCACGGATAAAGAATCTTGTTTTGTAGTGAATATTTTATTGCACAATTCATAGCGCGCAGCCATATCCTGTTTCAAGGAATAAGTGGAGCGGACAGTTTCCCAAATCTCCATAGCAGAAGACAGGAACATACAATGACGACCCACTTCAAGAGTCATCGAATTCCATAACCAAGTCATGATAAGAGAATCCTCATTATCCCAAACAGCAAAATCGGGATCCGTGGCAGCAGGAGTAGGGCCATCAAGATGAGCAATCTTATTGCGACTCTTGATGGTAGTACGAATGAACTGAGACCACGACAAATAATTTGATCCGTTAAATTGATAACTCTGATGTAGACTTGGAAGATCATTGTGACCAAGAGGGGTCACCACAGATGGGGTAGAATTTTTTTCAGATAAGTTTAGAGTTGAATCACCGTCGGAAGCGGCCATACTGCAAAACAACTCAAGGAATAGTACCAAGAAGCCAAAAAATCACGAAAAATTACCAAACGACGTCCGATCAAAGAGGTGAGCACAGATCCAGAACGAGCTTGGAGAGTCGATCAAGACTGCACCGGTCCACAGCCAATAGCAACCGTCACGCGCCGGTGAAGCTGGCGGCGCGTGGGATTCACGCGCAGGGAAAGGAGCGGCGCGTGGAGGCGCGTCTGACGTCCGATCGGGCTGGGCTTTTCAGGCGAAGGTCGTCCAAGGGTTGCGAACCTATCTGGGGCTGATCGAAGTTGAATGGCCGCCAGAAAGAAGGTCAATCGCGATGAACAGTGTTCTTCGTTAGTGAAAAACGCTTTCTGTTTGGAGGTGACGTTGAACGGTTCAGTTTGGGGTCTTGTTATTGAGGAAGATGAGAGAAAAACAAAGAGAAGCAGTGATCTCTCGGTCCAAGAGGTCCCCGGAAAATTTTTCCGGTGGCGGCTGATGGCAACGAGAGATGGAAAACAAAAAAAAAAAGGTTTTGTAGGCGCGGAAGCAGAGCCCTCAAGATCGAGAGCTCTGATACCAACTTGAAAAAGGGTATTCTGATATATTTTAGAATTGCAAATAATATGTACAAAGGGTTCTCTATTTATAGAGAATATTTAACCTACTTTTAACCTAATGGGCTTGGCCCAATACAACAATAAATGATTAAATAAAAATTAAATAATAACTAAATCATTATTATTTACAAGAACTAAGAGTAAGACAAGAAGGAATACCCGTTTAAAAGTACGTGGCCTTGTAAAGTTACCAGCAGCTGCATCCATTTAACATAAAACACAAAAAAAAAAGAAGCAAAATTAATCAATAAACTGTTATTCAACTAGATCAGAGTAGATGAGTTATAACAACAGAATACAACTTTTTCAGATATACATATAGAGAGACTCAGCAACTTCTGAAGCAGAAGTAGAGTAAATCTCCTCGGATATGCATAGAGAAATTGCTGTCGTGTGTAAGAAGATCAATTAATGTATATATATAGAACTATTTCAACTGCTTGAATTTGTAAGTGAAGGTCCAATGGTTTTTATATTATATCCCTCTAACACAGTTGTTTTTGTGCAAGAGCCATTTGGACTTAGCGTAAATATTGCATAGGCTCATTTTTTTTATTCTATAAATAAGTGGCGGAGATGATCAAATTCGTGACCCCATGATCACAATAGCTATGACCTCACCTAATTGTTTAACCTTGTAAGTGAGACTCAATCAATGATTTTTATAATATATCTCTCTAACAGTCTAAATAAAAAAAATATATATATATATATTGTAAAGAGCACATCCCTAAACACATAAAGCACACAACGATAGCTCATCATCCCTTCCTACCCAGCAAAATAAATAGGTTCCAAAATAATCAAACCTTAGCCTATTACATATTTGACAATTACCTACCCTGAAGTTGGAAACTTGGATTTATTACCTTGAGACAGCTGGTAAATTTTTTTGTTCAAGAATATCCCAAAGATATCAGTTCAACATATTAAATTTTAAATTCAATTTATTTATAAACTCTTGTGTACTCTGACGACAGTCACAGAGGAGGCCACTGTAATTATCTCGGTAGAATAAACAATAATATTTTTCACCAACTATTATGAAACTAGATGGCCACTCTACTCTTAATTCACAACCAAAACTTATTTAACTTTAGTCATGTCACCCTGAAATTTAATGAGAAAAACCCTCTCAAGTAGCATGAATGGAATTTTCAACACAGTAAAACCTATGAAAAACATGTTACATATTATATCAAGCATCTATGTGAGTTTTTATGTGCTAGGGAGGAAGATAGAGAGAGGGCAGATAGATTACAACCTATATCATCTGGGTGAGAGAAGTTGCGGCGACCAGTAGGCTTGCCCTTGAACTTTCCTCTTCCCATGTTTTGGATGCAGAGAATTGCAAAGTTTGGTGCTGTTGCTAATTGTTGCACAGAATAGTTGGAAACCTTGTTGAATGCTAAGTTATCATTTCATCTAGGTGTTATGCTTTGAGCACTAGTCCCCCACAACTGAGTATCAGGTTCTGCTAAAAAAGCATAACTCCTTTTAATTTGATTTAACGTTTCAACTTTGAATCACTTTTGTTAGTTAGGACAAAAGGAATATATACGCGTTGTTGATTATTGATTAGTTGGATTATTTAATTTTGTTGTATTTTCAATATAAGTAGATTTATACTATATAGTATTATAGGAATGATAAAAAAAAATTATTATAGTAATAATTTGATGAATGGTCTCGAACATTTTTTAGTGGGACGATAATAAGGATTACTTAAAAAATTTCTGAAATCAGACATTTTTAATAATATAAAAATATGTGAAATTTCTTGGTTTATAACGAAACTAGCTCTTGATAATTAAGGAAGAGGAGATTTTGAACCGGATTTCCTTCAATAACAACTAGCAAGTCACGAGTTTGTTTAAGCGGCCTAAGAAATATGTGATTAGATTATATAATTTTATAACAGTAAATCAAAATTAATTAGTATTAGAATGTAAATAAAATTATAGGTAAAAAAATGAAATTTCAAAAGTAAAATCATCACACTTAACTTATGCATTAAATGATCTGATAAAAAATAATGCATTACCTGATAATGTCTGATTTTTTACTATAAAAGTCGCGGATGTTCCGAAACTTATTATTTAGTTTTATTAATTTATATTTTTTTGTATAAAAAAAATAGAAGAATATATTCTAGCTCAAAGAAGGAGAAATTCTAGGTAAGGTATATTTATTTAAGTCCTTTTTGTATAAATATATATTTTATTACGCTGACGCAGACCCAAGATAACGGAAGTGGATTCTTTTAAGATATTTTGGAGATTGATGTTGAAACGATAAAAATTGTTTTAGCCATATCACATGAAAGAAAAAGCTATTCTGATACAGGGGAGTAAATTTTCCGTAAAATTTAAATGAAATTAACTTATATGACATTAAAAATAAAGAATTGAGTGAAGTAAACGCAAATAGGAGTATCATGTTTATTTTAATCGGTGTAGCATGAATTCATAGTGTTACAAGAGTACGAAATATAAGCTATATGGATGTAGTACTCAGATGTAGCATATCATCGGGTTGAAAATCAGAAATAAAAATAAAAATGGGCTCACTTAATTACATGTATTCTATGTATTTCTTTGTGGTTAATGATACATGAGTCCTCTTTACAGAGGTGTTCGCGGTCTGGATTGGAAGCAAAAATCATCTGATCTAATCCCTTCGGGTTGATCATATAATCATCCATTCGGTTTGGATTTTTTTCCAAATCTGATCCGATCCAATCCAATTTTTTTCGGTTTGGATTGGATCGGTTTTTGGTTTTTTGAAAATCCTAAAATTTATTTCATGATTATTGTGAAAATAACATCTTTTGTATATATTGACTTTGTAAATTTATTTTTTTTGAAATACAAAAGTATTAGTAAACTATAATATATAAAAAAAAATTGGGCAATGAGATATGAAGCTCTACAAAGATAAAATTTTGTTGATGAGATATGACTAGATTTTTTCTTTGATTTAGTTGATGGGTTAATGGGTCTTGGGTTAGAAATTTTTAAGTTATGATTAGAGAAAAACTCAAGTAGGTAGAGGGAAATTAATATATTGGATCGGTTTGGATTGGATCGGTTTTCATCAACCCATCCAAAAATCGATCAAATCCAATTAAAATTTGCAGTTTTTTTTTGTTTTCGATTTTTCGATTTTCGTTTTTCGGTTATTGTTTTTTCGGTTCGGTCTCTGCAGTTTGAATAGGTTTGATCGGTTGAAGAACACTCCTACCTGTTTATTTCTCTTTTTGGTAAAGGAATGCATACCACAAGAGTACTTGATGATTTACTAATGGCTACAGTAATGCTTTTATATAAATAAAAATAAATGTAAACTCTAAATTGTCTTTGAGGAATTTATCGGCGAACACATTAATATTTTATACTGCAAAAACTCAATACTTGGGTGTTACGAATAGTGTTGGCGCGTGGATCACCTAAGAGAACTTTCTAAGATGATTGCAATAGTGCAAGGGCACACGTCCAAGTAATAAATAAGAGTATAATGCCTTAGATTATCGTTTTCACATAAAAGTGATACAATATGGGTTAAAGAAGTTGTAAGCAAAATAAAATAACTAAAATAAACAAGGAACAAAATGAAAAGGAACGCAACACACTAAACAAGGCACGGTCAGTAGGAAACGAGGAAAAAAGTGCAGTAAACGAGGAACGCTTATGAGTAGCAAGGAACAAATGCAGTAAAACAGGTTCTGCTACCAAATCAGAGTACAAAGCCTCATTCTAATGATAACTTGAACCATGTATTGAATCTTAATCATTTGGACATAATGTATTATTGGTGTCGCTCCTCACTTTATAAATATTTAATGTATCTCTATTTAATATAAATTAAAGACAATTGGAAATTAAAAAGGCTATTATAAATATTTAATGTATCTCTATTTAATATTATAATTATTTGTTTTCTTATTTTCTAAGAATTTGTAGTTATTCCTTTAAATTCACCAATCTCTATATGTTGTAACCTTTTCTACTTGTTCTTTACAAAAGCAATAATATTCACTCTCATTGCTTTTTTAGTTGCTGCCTTGAATGTGGAATCCGTTTCCGATGATCTCTGGTCATCTTGCCACTATAAGCCACTACTGGAAAATGAAGAAATAACCCACACGTCTAATGATCTTTAGTCGCTGCCCACAATAGCTACACTACATGATAATGAAAATGAAGACTTAGTTGATGAGACTCATAGTTCATTTAATACCTCATGTGACATGCCTTCTATCAATCTAAAAGGTGCAAAAAGTTGGGACACCCGAACTACTATTTCAAAGATAGAAACAACCTATACTTACTCACCGACAATTGCAATCGTCTGAACCACTGGTAAGTACTGAATGCACTAATCCTTATAATCCTGAGACAAATATTAATCATGATGACTTACCCATTGGTGTGAGGAAGGGGGAAAGGTCTTGTACCTGACATCATGTCTCTCATTTTGTCTCCTCTAAGAACCTTTTTATGTAGTAAAGAAGTTTTATTTTAGCACTTGACTCCACTTCAATCCCAACATTAGTGCACAAAGCATTAACGAATGATAATTGCGATCAAGCCATGTGTGATGAGATGAATGCTTTAGAGAAGAATAATGCAAGGAAAGTTGTTGACTTGCCAAAAGTAAAAAGGTTATGGGGTGCAAATGGGTGTATATTATGAAATATAATTATGACAAGACTCTCGAGAAGTATAAGGCTTGATTAGTTATCAAGGGGTACACATAGACCTATGGCATTGATCATAAAGAAAAATATGCTCTATTGGCAAAAAAAATGGGGCAAATTTTATGTCATTATAAAGGCCAAGGTGTCTACTTCAAACCTTTCATATTTCAGGTCAATAGGCTAAGTTTTTGATTTTATATGAATTTCTCATCAAAGATAGCTTTTCTGAAATTGTTGGCAACCAGTTTCGGGAGTATCAGGGTGTTTGGAAGATTTTGTTAGGATTATCCTAAGGATAACTCAAGCTCCTGGAGGTCATTTGTTAAATGTGATTATATGATATTATATGTACTATGTATCTGACATTTCATGCAGGAAGTGAACTCTTAGGTAGAGACTACTCCATATACCCAAAGTTTAATGAGATAGTTAATCTCACCCCGTTTGGCGATATATTTCAGGTACTCAGGCAGCAGCAGGAGAACCCTCCAACCGCAAGAGAGTAGCTCAGGGTTATAGCATGCTTAGCTATAAAGATTTGATACTACATTTTGGGATTACTGTACATAGGTTTTGTAGCATGACGTATGATCATTGTAGCACCCCATTCTATAACCGATTTGTTATCACCAGTTATGATGTTAAGCGCAATTACAATCACATAATTCAATTAAAATCATGGGTAAATTTTTCTTTTAAAAACCATTTCTTTATGCTTTCTTAGATTATTTACGTACATATTCCACATGCGTAATTATAACATCTAATTATTGCGGAATTAGTCTATCAATGCTTAATATCATGTGCCAAGTACTCCCATAAGCATACGAGGCATTTAAAATTAAAACTGGAAAACTACAGCAGCTCGCTTTAGCGAGGTACCCCTTCCTCGTTGAAGCAGCTCGCTAAAGCGAGAAAGGCAGCGAGCTATTTAAATTGGAACCCAAGAGCATGGCCTCTGCATCAGGAGCTCGCTCGCTAGCTCGCTCGCTAGCCAGCTCGCTGAAGCAAGCATGCTAGCGAGCAACCACTGAACTTGAAAATGGTCACTTTGTTTCTATGCCATCTCTAGGGGTTTTGATCCCTACTTTTCTCAATCTCTTGGGTACCTAATTGACCGTATACAAGTATTTTACTATCTAAAGTCTTAACGTCAAAAATCTCATTAAAATTCATACATGATCTTTCTTAGGCTTCAAGCCAACTTTTCATTGTTTACTTCCTTGCAAGAAATCTTTCATATCATATGGTTATGGACTCTTTGTCCTTAACCTCCTCATTCTTCTTCAATGCAATTCTCAACATGCATAATTTACTTCAATCTCATCATCTTACAACATCATGAACATAATAAAATAATAATTGCAACATACTTAAATCATACATTCTTCATACATGTTCTTTATAATCAAAAATGTCCATTACATCATAATAGAGTTAAATACGTAACATATGGCAATGTCCAAAATACATCAATCATGTGCATGGATTCTTGCTAGCAAGTGCACTAGTCGTAAAAGTAATAAAGCGTACGTGAGTATGAGATCGTTCCTACGAGGACTAGAGTTTCAATCTCTAATTCACTATTTTACGCTTTAATTGGACAATCAAAGATGAAATTGGTAGAACAAATATGTAAAACAATCAATGATTAAAATCACATAATTCTAAAAAAAAATTCAATAATAAAGCAAGAAAATTAAAGATGAGTTTTTCAAC